AAATATTGTTGCTACAGTGAATCTTGATTGTAGACTTGATCTTAAAACTATTGCACTTCATGCAAGAAATGCAGAATACAATCCAAAGGTACTATACCACATATTGCTATGCTTGTAAATATTATATGTATATTATATACATTATAATATATGTATAATGTGTATATATATATTAGCGTTTCGCTGCTGTAATTATGCGTATCCGTGAACCGAAGACGACAGCTTTGATATTTGCCTCAGGCAAGATGGTTGTCACAGGTGCCAAATCAGAAGATGATTCTAAACTAGCAAGCAGAAAATATGCTCGTATCATTCAGAAACTTGGATTTAATGCAAAATTCACTGATTTTAAAATTCAAAACATCGTTGGTTCTTGCGATGTTAAATTTCCTATACGTTTAGAAGGTTTGGCCTATTCTCACGGACATTTCAGCAGTGTAAGTGAAATTCTTTTTTTTTTTTTTTTTTTTGGAGCAAAAGAAATTTTTCCACGAAACTAATTACTTGCAGTTTTATTTTTATATAGTATGAACCAGAATTATTCCCTGGTCTAATTTATCGTATGGTAAAACCAAAGATTGTCCTTTTGATCTTTGTATCAGGAAAAATTGTATTAACTGGAGCAAAGGTAATTCTCCATTTAATATAGAACTCGTTGATATTCATCCATTTATGTATGATTGATTGATTGATTTACTTTGTTTATTTAGGTTCGTGAAGAAATTTACCAAGCATTCGATTCGATTTATCCAGTATTAACGGAATTCAGAAAACCATAAAAATAAAAAAATTCTTTTCAAAAAAAAAAAAAAAAAGTATTTTAATATTAAAAAAATGCGGGTAAAAAAAACGATGAAAAGATGTTGGAAATCTTATTATAGCAATAGCATTATTTTATTTTTTATAAAAAAAAAAAAAATTTGCCAATTAGACACTATTAATTAATAATAAATGAGTTTTCTGTTAATGCACACGAGGGAAAGGAAAGATAGAGAAAATGCAAAGAAAAAAGAGAAAAATTTATTATTATTATTAATATTATTTGAGCTTTTTAATCATTTTAACTACAATTTTTTTCTTTTTAAAATTTTTTATTTTATTTTTTCCTAATTACAAAAACCAAAATCAAAAACTATATTTGAGACACACACAGCACAACATCATCTTTATTTAGATAGATGATAGTCACTTCATTTCTTTCATTAGAATAATAATAATCTCCAAACAACATCAAAAAAACAATTACATTATATAATATACATACACGCGTATTATTATAATATGCATGTGTCATATATATTATATATGAACATCATTAATTAAAGAGACAATGATGTTTTGTATCTCACATATCTCACATAATATATTTGAGATTTGAGATTTGGTTTTTTTTTTAAAAAAAAAAAAAAAATTATATAAATATCGTAAAAAATTTTATCACTTTAAAAAAAAAGTATTTTTTGTACATAATTAAATTTTTTTCTTTAAATAATTTTTCAAAAATCAATAATAAAAAAAAATTTTATAAATATATAAAGAAAAAATCATCTATTTCTTATCATTGTGAAACTTTTCTTTTCCAAAAAAATTAAATAATGATCTAAAAAAAAAATAAATTTTTTGTCCATCACTCCCACCCATCATCCATCACTTCTATTTAAAAAAAATTTTTATAACATTGCAAACAATTGTAATTATCTTCCCTTTTGAAAAATGAGCACTAAAACAACATTTCAAGAAGGTTTATCTTTTAAAACTTTAAGTTTTTCACCCAAATCTGGTCAAGAAAAAAAAGACTCAGCTATTATCGTCTTACAAGAATGGTATTATTTGAAATTGAATGCATGCATTACCTGAATTATTGAATTATTTCAAAAAAAAATTAATAAACATAGGTGGGGAGTTAATGAACAAATTAAGGCACACGCTCAAATTATTGCAGATAACACTAATTCATTGGCTATAGTTCCAGATCTTTATAAAGGAAAGCTTGGATTATCTCGTGAGGTAAATATTTAAAACATTTTATCTATTATTATTACATACATTTATTAATTAATTATTAATATATATATAATAGGAAGCAAGTCATTTGATGTCGGTTAGTTTAATCAAATTAATTGATATATATATATATATATATATATATAAGTTTTTTATTTTTTTTTATTTTCACGATCTGTATTAAATTTAAATCTAAATATAAAAGAATTTAGATTGGAAAGAAGCTCTAGGTGAATTGGAAACCCTTGTTGATTCTTTGAGAAAAGAAAATCGGGTGTAAGTTTAACAACAACAATAATTAATTAATATATATACATCATATATAATAATGATGATAACAATGCTCATTAACGGTTTAGGAAAATTGCATCGATAGGATTTTGTATGGGTGGCGCAATGAGTCTTGCACTTGCTGCTCGTCTTTCACAAAGTAAACCATTAGCAGCTGCTATTACATGTTATGGTACTCCATCTCCAGCCATTGGTGATGTGTCTGTTATTCCATTAAAAACACCTGTTCAAGGTCATTTCGGTAAAGAAGATGACATTACTGGTTTCAGTGATCCAAATACTGGTAATAATGAACAATTATGATTATGATTTTCTAGTCTAATGATTTTTCTTTTTTTTCTTTTTTTTTTTTTAAAATAACTAACTAAACATCCAATAATTTTCCAAAAATAAATTAAACAAAAGCAAATTCACTCGAACGCTTACTTAATGAAGGTATCAAAAGAGAAGGTGCGACTGGTAAAGAAATTGCAATTTATCATTATGATGGACAGGGCCATGCTTTCTTAAATAACGAAGAATTTGCCATCAAAGGACAAACTTATCCTACTGGAGATAAAGATGCCCAAGATTTGGCATGGAATCGGATTTTCGAATTCTTAAAAAAATATTTGTAAATAAATATGAATAACAATTAATTAGTAATTAACAATAATAAAAAACATTAAATTTTGAAATTCATAAATGAATATATTTTTCTATTGTTTACAAATGAAAATGTAATAAATAAATAAACAAACAAGTAGTTTGTGGCGTTTTATATTTTTATTATAATATATTGATTGATAAAGAATAAAAAAGTAATATATGTGTGTATGTGTGTGTATATGCGTCATAATGACAATAATAATTTTAATGTAATTATTAACAAAAAAAAAGTGATTGATAAATCAAACAAATGGGACAAGCCGATTCACGGCCTTTACAAGAAATGGTTGAAAATAGCAATTGTAAATATCAAGCGAGAAATATAATATTAATTTTTTAACAATGACATTTTAAAACAATTAATTTATTTGTTTTTTTTTGCGCTAACAAATATTGTTTTTCTTTTCCCACTACTACCTCACCTTTCCTTTTCCCTTTTCCCTTTTCCTTTTATATTTGTTATATAGTTACCGCCGAAGAAATACAAAGACTTTACAAAAGATTTATGAAACTTGATAAAGATAAGTCAGGTTCCATAGATCGAGAAGAATTTCTTTCTATTCCACAAATTGCCAATAATCCATTAGCATCAAGAATGATTGCTATATTTGATGAAGATGGGGGTGGAGATGTAGATTTCAAAGAGTTTATTGCTGGATTGAGTGCTTTCAGTTCAAAAGGAAACAAAGATGAGAAATTACGTTGTAAGTAAATATATTTATAATTTGATGAATGTGCATTGAAAAGTTATATATCATTTATTAAATATTATTACACACCATTACATATTATTATTGCATAGGAAACAATATTACATATTATTACATACTAATGATTACAAATTTATTATTACATTAAATAAAAAAAACAGTTGCCTTTAAGGTATATGATATGGATAGAGATGGACTCATTTCCAATGGGGAATTATTTATTGTATTGAAGATGATGGTTGGCAATAATCTTAAAGATAATCAACTTCAACAAATTGTTGATAAAACGATTATGGAAGCTGACAAGGATATGGACGGAAAGATTTCTTTTGAAGAATTTTATTCAGTAGTAGAGTCAACTGATATTGCAAAAAGTATGACATTGAACGAATTCTAGTTTGTAAAATTGGTAACAGTGTATCGTTTGTTTATTTTTTTGGATGAGTAATTTATTTAAATAAAAAAGTAAATAAATATATGAGTGTAAATTTTAAATTATTTTTTCTTAATTCATTTTCTTTGTCCAAGACAGTGTTAGTGATTCAATAGCTAGTGAGTGAGTGAGCGAGCTATATAGTTGATTAATGAGGATAATAATAAAGATGGATCAAAGATAAAAAAAAAATTTTTTAAGATTATTAACTAACGCATTTATTCATACACCACCCATGCATCATCATCATTTATCATCCATCACTCACTCACTCACCAACCCACCCATCTAAAATCTTGTTACAAATGTATGTATATATATGCATGTATGCATCTCGGAAATTTTTTTTATTAATTAAAAAATAAATAAATATATCAAAGTAAAAGAGAGGGGTGAAAATTTTTTTAAAGAAAAGGAGGAAGATGTATTTTTTGATCAATAATAAAATAAAAAGATAAAAAAAATGCATATCCAGGGGGGTTTTCTAAATATATATAGTAAATAGTAAAGATTGTTTTTTTTTTTTTTTGCACATGAATAACCACGTGTTTCCATCCCCATTTTTTTAAAAAAAAATTTTTATTTGAATTATTTGGGGTGTTTACAAATAGATAAAAGGGAATTAAAAAAATATGGTTATTGCTATTGTTATTACTACTACTAGCATTGACACACAATACGTTGCGTGACCAAGAAAAATGAATGTGTGTAGTGGGGTGTGGGACTAATTAATATGTATTTGTAAAAAGAATGAGGAGAATAGAGGCAGATGAATGAAAAAAAAAAGATTTGAATAATTATATACATTATATGAAGATGAATTTAGAAGATATTTATATAAATATGAATTGTGTAAGGATTGTAGAAGAAGAGGGTGAGTGGGTACAAATAGTTACCTGTTTTTTTAAAAAAAGTGACTCTTTTCAATCAATCAATCAACAAATCAGCAAATATTAATATTAATGATTACCATCTTGATACATTTAGAAACTGTAATAGTAATAGTAAGCAAGTAAAGTAATAAGATTTTTAACCGGGTTAATAAAAAATAGGAATAATTATTCTCTGTCTAGGAAAAATTTTAGGTGAATGAATTGTGTAAATAATTATCATCATTAAGGTAAGTGTATCTTTTTTTTTTTTAAAAAAAAAAAGTAGTATACCAGAATATATATAAATAATGTAGTAATAATAAATTTGTTTGACAAATAAAATAAAAATAAATGTACAAAAAGGGTGCACAAAAAACAATTCAAAAAAAAGGGGATTATTTTATTTATTATTATCAAATATAAATAAATAAATAAGTAAATAAAATAACAACGCCATTCCTTCTTTTTTTGAAAGAAAACTAGTTTCTATTAAATAATTGATCTTAAAATAAAAAAAAATTTTTTTCTATTGTACTCTTTATTTTACAAAAATACAACAATTTGTGTTCGGTTTTACTTGACCAATAAATTTACTATTTTAGTATTTGATCGCGAGTTTTGAGCTTAAAAAATGGATTAAGTCTTAATAATTGGAGAATTGACAAATAACAAGTTATTTATTATGTCTATTCTTATTTAATATTATTAATAAATAATACAAAATTAGTCACGTGTCTTTTTTAAAACTCTATAAATATGACCCAAATCCCCCAACCCTCTCATGAATTTCCGACTCACGGCCTCGTCCCTTAAAAAATAAATTATAAAAAAAAAAAATAAATTTTTTTTAAATATAAATAATTTTTTTTATCAATCATTATTTATTACAAAAAAAAAAATTTTTAAAATTTATAAATACCTGTAAAAAAAATTTTTTTTTTTTTTTATAAAAATTTATTTTTTTAATTAAATAATAAAATCGAAAACTAAAAAACAACTTTATTACCATCATTTATTCAACGACAGCGACAAATAACAAATTAACAATCAATCACCACCGTTACAATTTAATAACTAATTTTCGATCTTGTCTTTATCTCACTCACTATTTTTATAATCTTTATCAAATCAAATAAATAAAAATGAGTAATATTAACACACTTTCATCCACAACGACATCAACGATGATTCAAAATTCTGAATATGGCACAACAAATAATATAATCCCAATGCCTTCGTCTTTTGTAAATACTAACAACAACCAAAATTTAAATCAAAATTATATTAACCACAACAGTCATCAACATCAAAACATACAGAATTATCATTTACAAATACAACAACAACAACAACAACAAAATCACACCAATAATATTCTAAACAATAATCCAATATCAGTTCCTACAACACCGATCGACAATTCATTTGTGTTATCTTCTAATCTTTCTGATGATCAAATTGCCGGTGTTGCTGATCAAACGACTCAAGCACAACAAAGCGTTACTGGAATCGTACCCACATTACAGTAAGTTTCCGAATTATTTAATGAGGATAAAATGATAATAAGACAATAATGTAAAGCTAGATTATTAATCGTTATCTCTTTGATTTTCTCTTCGCGTTTACCTTATGTTTACCATCATCCCTCTTCTCTTCATCACCCTTCATCAATTAATAGAAATATTGTTGCTACAGTGAATCTTGATTGTAGACTTGATCTTAAAACTATTGCACTTCATGCAAGAAATGCAGAATACAATCCAAAGGTACTATACCACATATTGCTATGCTTGTAAATATTATATGTATATTATATACATTATAATATATGTATAATGTGTATATATATATTAGCGTTTCGCTGCTGTAATTATGCGTATCCGTGAACCGAAGACGACAGCTTTGATATTTGCCTCAGGCAAGATGGTTGTCACAGGTGCCAAATCAGAAGATGATTCTAAACTAGCAAGCAGAAAATATGCTCGTATCATTCAGAAACTTGGATTTAATGCAAAATTCACTGATTTTAAAATTCAAAACATCGTTGGTTCTTGCGATGTTAAATTTCCTATACGTTTAGAAGGTTTGGCCTATTCTCACGGACATTTCAGCAGTGTAAGTGAAATTCTTTTTTTTTTTTTTTTTTTGGAGCAAAAGAAATTTTTCCACGAAAATAATTACTTTCAGTTTTATTTTTTTATAGTATGAACCAGAATTATTCCCTGGTCTAATTTATCGTATGGTAAAACCAAAGATTGTCCTTTTGATCTTTGTATCAGGAAAAATTGTATTAACTGGAGCAAAGGTAATTCTCCATTTAATATAGAACTCGTTGATATTCATCCATTTATGTATGATTGATTGATTGATTTACTTTGTTTATTTAGGTTCGTGAAGAAATTTACCAAGCATTCGATTCGATTTATCCAGTATTAACGGAATTCAGAAAACCATAAAAAT